TATAAATACACACACATGCATGTATATATTTAAGAAAAAAGTGTTGTTTATATATTAAAATATTAATATATAATATAAATTATATGAATATTAATATATACATGTAAAGACATGTAAATATTTTAAAAATATATACTGTATGTGTGTGTATTTATATATACATAATAAATATACACAGTACACACACACATATATTATGTGAACAAAAACTTTTATTTTGGATGCGATTAATCATTTGACAGAACTAGTTAAAATGCATGTGTCACAATTCTAATAGTGTTTTGCAGTTACATACTACTTAATTACATAGTCCTGTGATGAAGCATTTAAAACGGTATGAAAAAGTGGTAGAAATAGAATTAACGTTACCTGCCATGTACAGTGATTTTATTTTTATTAGAGACATGCTTCATAGTGGTACAACACAACTATATACCAAAATCGATGCCAATAGTATAGGATTTATTGGCTAAATTGTATGAAGCCTATGTTGAGCATGCTAAAAGGAAGCAGCTGGCTCCTGACATGAAAATTTAAATTAGCATGTATCTACTTGGAGAAGAACATTAGTCCAGTGCCCTGCCCTGCACCTTAAACTAAACACAGCGAGAAGAAACTGAACTTCCCTTGGTCCTCTGAGCGGCTAACACTCCCTGATAAGATCTGAGAAAGTTGTAAAACGAGGAACTTCCACTTTTGGACACCTGAATAGCCATTGCAGGCCTGCCCTCTATTGGCTTAACCACCCCTGATCCATTATTATTTTGCTTTCCCTGATTGCCATTACAGTATTACACTACAATCCTAGAGAGGGGGCGACATCTTGTTGCCTGGCAGCAAGAGTCGCAAACAACAACAACCCAGTAATGTGTGAATTCGCGTAACTTAGTTGTAAAGCAGTTACAAATGTGTACTCACTCTTTTAGACCTAATGATACAAATGTATGGCCATTATTTAAAAACTTTTTTTAACCGATTCGCATATTAATTTAAAGATTATGTTTTTATTAAACGCGCGTTTGAATGATGTTGTGAGTGTCAGTGAGAGTGTGGTGGACAGAAAGGGAGGAGCCGCACTAAATAAGGCTAATGTTGAAGTTTCCAGAGGTTGATGTCGGTGTAACTGGATTCCTCCAGTCTGGGAACAACTGGGAACAAGATGGCTGAGGGTGGACTGGAAAACTGCTTTTCCAAACTCTCACAAAAGCTGGACTGAAGCCACCCAGAGAAAAACATGCAGGTATAAACTCTTCGTATTTTTCGAAGCGTCTATTTTTCCAGACAAAAATACCTTTCTGCGGTTTTTGTTGTTGTATGAAGTTTTCACTCGGATTTTCTCGCGTATTTCTATTACATAACATCGTAAAATTGGATATTGAGAGGTTTAAAAAGCTGCAACGATAGCTATTCAATAACTCTGACTTGACGGAAATCAAATTCGAGACGTTTTGAATTAACGGTAGTGTTTTGAGTTTTGGCAGCTTCCCAATAACCCAGCGTTAAAGAGCGACTAAAATGAAGAGGTGTGTTTATGTTAGGTTACTGTGAATGACACGATGAGCTCCAGTCGCGTCCGTCCCCAAGCACCGCAGGCCCAGGCGGCATCCGCATCCGCGTCCTCTCCGCCTTATGAAGGGATCGAGATGGAAAAAGTGCATCATGAAGAAGTGGGCCTCGGAGTGCCCGATGAGACCCCCTCTCCACCCACCTCCAGCTCCAGACAGGCATGGAGCCGGGATAACCCAGGGTTCGAGCCGGAGGAGGGGATGATGGAAGCGGACTGGCCTCCGGCGAGCCCTGGCCGGAGGTCTGTGTCCACGGCGTCCAGCACCAGCATCAGTGCGCGGATCAACAGAGGACTGTATCCAACTCCACCAGCACAAGAACACAGCAGCTGTGGGAAGAGGATACTGGAGAAAATGAGAGGTCAAACTGTTGCTAGGATTATTGTGGTTATGTTTCACTACACTGAAAATGTAAACACAATTATGTGACCCTGGACCACAAAACCAATCATAAGCGTCAATTTTTTTGAAATTGAGTTTTATACATGATCTGAATAAATAAGCTTTCCATTGATGTATGGTTTGTTAGGATAGGACAATATTTGGCAGAGATACAACTATTTGAAAATCTGGAATCTGAGGGTGCAAAAAAATCGAAATATTGAGAAAATCGCCTTTAAAGTTGTCCAAATGAAGTTCTTAGCAATGCATATTACTAATCAAAAATTAAGTTTTGATATATTTACGGTAGGAAATTTACAAAATATCTTCACGGAACATGATCTTTACTTAATATCCTAATGATTTTTGGCACAAAAGAAAAATCTATAATTTTGGCCCATAGTGTATTGTTGGCTATTGCTACAAATATATCCCAGCGACTTAAGACTGGTTTTGTGCTCCAGGGTCACACATAGTAAAACTTGTAATAGCCTTGCTAGGATGGGTTACACTTCTGATAAAGTTGCCTTTTCATAAAGGGCCAAGATAATGTCTTAAGTAAAATGTAAAAGGGGCCCTATTTATAATTTACTTAACTCAAGCATCCCAAAAATATGTATCATGGTTTCCACAAAAATATTAAGCAGCACACTGTATTCAGCTGTGACAGTAAGAAGAAGTGTTTCTTGAGCAGCAAATCAGCATATTAGAATGATTACTGAAGGATCGTTTGATACTGAACACTCGAGTAACGATGCTGAAAATTCAGCTTTGCATCACAGGAATAAGACATATTAAAAAAATTAATTAAAATAGAAATCAGTTATTTTAAAAAGGCAATAATGTTTCACAATATGACTGTTTTCCTTGTAACTTCTAAAGTACCTCACTATGAAATAAGGGTTAAAATATTAGTTGTATTTCAGGGTTAATAGTTAGTCTGTATTAATTATGACCTAACCTTAATTTGTAAGTAAAAAGTGCCTAATTATATAGCTAGGTAAACATGATTTTGTGAATTAATGGAAGATTTATTTCTTTATCTTTTTCAGTGCTGTGGGATACCTGTCTTTTGGGTGAGAGCAACAGTAACAGAGAGATGTACCTGAAAACTGTCCTACGAGAAATTATCACCTACATTCTCTTTCTGGTCACCCTCTGCATTTGTAAGTTGAATATCGGACAGTTTCATGCTTGAATATGTTAATGCATACCATGTTACATTCTTTTACATGTCCTTTCCTTACATGTTAGAGGAATAGGCCTTAAAAATATTCATCAGATTAAGAATCTGTTTAATTAAGAGCACAAAACGTAATGATACTTAAAAAGTATAACAGGTTTTTTATTTTAATTGCTATAGTATGAGTTGCCATTCAGCATAAAGAATCAGATGTCATAATGGAAAAAATATTGCTCAAATTGTCAGTTTCCCTGGTCTGCTCCAGCTCTGGCAGTCTTTTTTCTGGTATAACCGTCACTTTAATCCTCGTAACAACCACAGCAACAATTTACATTTTTGAGTATTTAGAGTCTGCTCAAATGCATTTTCATTTTACATTTATGCATTTCAGACTTTTCAGATTTTTAAACAACTTACATTGCATATACAGTACATTTGATCAGTTAATGCATCGTTTGGGAATTGAACCCATGACATTGGCTTGTACCATGCTTTACAGCTTGAGCTACAGGAACACAAATAAATGAATCCATATTAAAAGTGCACAACATTTTATACAGTGAACATTTTAGGAGCATCTATCTGCTCTCCAATATGCTCTACCATCTACAGAAACACAACATGTTATTCTGTTTAAAACACATTATTGATATTTCTTTTAGTAACCTACGGAATGGTGAGCACCAACATGTACTACTACACCAAAGTCATGTCCCAACTATTCTTGGAGACACCGCTGACAAGCGGAGAACCGATGACCTTCAAGACTCTTTCAACCATGGAGGACTTCTGGAAAGTAATTATTCCACTGACTTGAATGCTCTTTTACAGTATGAAAATGCACATTAGTTCCAATTGCATCACAGATGTTAATGAAAACATTATCTGTGTAGTTCACAGAAGGCCCTTTTCTTAATGGCATGTACTGGGAGTTCTGGTACAACAACAAGAGCCTCCCAGAAAACCAGAGTCTGATCTACTACGAGAA